TTAATATAATCTGGCAGCTTGCAAACTGATATACTATGGAGATATAAAGAGATACATTCTTCATAAATGATACCCAAGAAGGTGAAGGAAACATTGAAAAGGTGTGCAATACCTGGAAAGGTGAGATGAGTGGAAGATATTTGTAAACTCTGATTTGAAGGTTGGAGCGAGGTAGAGCTGGGTGAAAAATAAATATCATGCAGAAAAACAGCGTGAGAAAAAACAACAGATGCATGAGCATGTTTGTCTGAGTGACAATATGTATAGGTGGGTGTGAGCAGTGAAGTAGGGTGGGGTGTTGAGATGTAGCAGGTGGAAGACATGGTGGAGGCAGAGACAGAGGAGGACGTGGCAGTAGGGCAGTGATTTAATTAGCACCCTCTACCCCCTCCAGCCCTTCACTCATAGCATCAATAATGCATGGCCCCTTGTTTCCACTGCCATAATTAATCCTCTCTTACTATAATTAAAAGCCAAAAATCCCACAAGATGGTTCAGCCTGGCCAGGCACTGGTTGGGTTGGCACGGGAACTGATGGAAAACTCCAGAGCTTCATACGCACCCTGCGGACGGATGGACAGAGAGACAGACAGACAGACAGACAGACAGACAGACAGACAGACAGACAGACAGACAGACAGACAGACAGACAGACAGACAGACAGACAGACAGACAGACAGACAGACAGACAGACAGACAGACAGACAGACAGACAGACAGACAGACAGACAGACAGACAGACAGACAGACAGACAGACAGACAGACAGACAGACAGACAGACAGACAGGCAGGCAGGCAGGCAGGCAGGCAGGCAGGCAGGCAGGCAGGCAGGCAGGCAGGCAGGCAGGCAGGCATACAAGATAAGATGAATGAATTTGAGGGACGTGAAACTCTTTCTTGAAAATGTGCTTTTGTGTGCCATGTTTGTGAATGAGTGAGAAAGTGACAGGAAGAGCGAGCCAAGCACAAATCACCCAACACCAGTTCCCCTCCCTAGAAAGAAGGACGGATGTAGGAGGATGTGCGCGCACACACACACACACACACACACACACACACACACACACACACACACACACACACACACACACACACACACACACACACACACACACACACACACACACACACACACACACCACACACACACACACACACACACACACACACACACACACACAAAGGCATCCTGCTCCCAGATGAGGTTTGTCTCCACAGCAGCCAAGACGAGACGAGAAGAGAGGTGGAGCTTTCTGATGCTGCAATTAGGACCACACTGTCTGGGCGAGCAAACAAGAATGAATATTTCAGTCCGGAGATCTTCACGGGTACCTATGGTGGGGGCCTGGCATACACACACACACACACACACACACACACACACACACACACACACACACACACACACACACACACACACACACAGACACAATTTACCACGGCTGCCAGAATTATTCACCTCCCAATCACAGATGCACAATTATCACATCAGTATCACTGCGTAAATGATGCCAACTGTTATGCTCATTGAACTATTGTACGAGGCGTACAATATCAGTATACATATGCATCAGTAGGAGCAGTCATAATATGTAGATGGTGGTTTCTCCTGAAAATAGGTACAACGAGCCTCCGAGCTTGGCCACATGCCAGGAAACAACACAGTTGGTAGAGCAGAGGTCATATCTCTCATATGCAACCTACATTTCTTATCCTCTCTCTTTATCTTTCTCACTTCCTCTTTGGACAGAGAGTACGCATCTCACTCAGACACCTTTTCAGGCACTTCAGCAATTTTTAAATGGTGCTTCACTTCTGAAGATCCAGTGTGCACACACCCTCTTCACAGCCCACTCTCACACAGGGCTGGTACAATAGGAGCCCTCCCTCTGGTGTGGGTTCATTGTGGATGCTCCGCACAGCCCTCCTCCTGCCCCACCGTCCTCGGCCCCATCTCCACTTGATTTATCGCTCTAAAATACCACTGCACTAATTAGTCAAGTAATTAATTAATAGGCATTTGCATTTGTGCATATGCAATTAGGGGGCTGGAGAGAGGAGAGTGCAGATGGGGTACGGGAGTCTGGTGGGGGTGGGGGGGGGGGGGGTGTCCATGTGCATGTGTGTGTGTGTGTGTGTGTGTGTGTGTGGTGTGTGTGTGTGTGTGTGTGTGTGTGTGTGTGTGTGTGTGTGTGTGTGTGTGTGCGCGTGTGTGTGTGTGTGTGTGTGTGTGTGTGTGTGTGTGTGTGTGTGTGTGTGTGTGTGTGTGTGTGTGTTGTGTATTCTATTTGTGCCAGCAGAAGTTTGCACTTCTTCTAGAAAGACAAGTGAAGTGCAGGTCGTCACCTCGCATGTCTGACAGTGAGAAGAGGAGAAAGGGGGGGGGGGGGATGACAAAGGTGGAGGTGTGGCTTGGTGACTTTGAAAGGCAATCGGGTGTCATTTGACCATAGAGGGAAAAAAGAGAGTGATGGAGAATTTGATGTGTTAAAGGGGAAGGGCTGCAATTTTGCATTTTGATGACATGCATTTAGCCTATGAAAAAGCAAAGCAGGTGGCCCTTACTTAAGATTAATCTGCATACAAACAGGATGCGAAGTCCTCCTAAAATATCATAATTAAAAACAAGCTCTCCTCCAGCGTTTCAATATCAGATCAAAGCCTCCCTGATTGGAGTCGCCTCTAGCCCGGCGCTGGCTAAAGCCACACTGTTGACATTTAACATTTATTTTGGCAAGGTGACCTGAAGGTTGTTTGGGACTTGTTGAGAAGCATCATCCCCTCCCTGGCAGCAGCATCCCCCCCCCCTCCTTGGTGCAGCTGAGGTAGGATAGGGCACGGATTTGGCTGGCAGTGAAGCTGGATGCCCCTTTACTCCCCCTCAACACACAAACACTGACACAATCATCCCACCATATTTGTGGTAGTGCCAGGCTACCATCCGCTCATCCCATAATGGAGAATACACATTAGTGAATGTGCAGTATCCTGGCTCCCCAACCACAGCTGCCACACCACTGGTGACCCCACAGATGACCCTGCAACCCCCCAAACGCTCCCTAAGTTGTGGCTGCCGAGGAGATGTAGGGGTGATCCTGGCCCAAGGACATGATAAGCTTCTATCAGCTATTTCTCAGCCACCATGTCCCTGTTCCCCAAGTCCAGTGGGTGTCTTTGTGCCAAGTTGGACTTGGTGGTCATTGAGCTAATTTCTCCCACATTAACTCCACTAATGTCTGCTAAATAGAGAGATCTCGAAGCTGGGACGGACACAATGCAGCGAAGCAGACAGGGACTAAGATGTTGGTGGTGAGGAATTCAAGCAGCCACCACTGTATGCCAACATGCCTCCTCCTAAATCTTGGGCACCTCTGCCAGCTCCAATCCCCTGTCATCTATAGCGAAACCCCCCTTCCTCCTCATTTTTCATACATCCCTAGTGGGCCTGCACACCTGGGTCTCACTCTCACTGTGTCTCTCCGTGTGGCCCCTGCAGGCGCCCCTCTCTCAGCTCTGCATGCTTGAAACACCAGCAGCAGCTCTGGCAAACCTCGCACATTCGGACACAGCTACCAGTGAACATTTGATCTTCACACTTAACCTCATGAGCACCAATCCACACACATGCAGCAGAGGCCTGTGTTATAATATTCCTTTCAGTCGGACTCATTCGCAGCTTGGGCAAGTGGGTCATCTGCGGCCCTGTTGTGCCCACAAGAGTCAGAACAAATCATAATTGGTTTGTTGTTACTCTGAATACATTGAAGCATAATTTGATCCAATTAGGTAAATAAATAAACAATATGCCTTCTGTTCCCTGGCCTTAATGCACTTATAATGCATCCCCATCCCCCAACCTGCATCTGAACCAGATATGTGATGGAGGGTAAACCCTGAAACTAAACCCAGTTTACCCACTTTTTATCAGCTGAAGATTGTATTGTATTGCATTACATGTAGCAATTCTAAAACTTGTGTATGAGAAAATAAATATTTTACAGGGGTTAATAGCTTATATGATTTGCAGAACATATGACTTGGGGCTTATTATTTTTACTTAATGAAAAGATGCCTTATAGACCCTGAGGACTAATCACTCTAAAATCCCTATTAGATGCTAATGTGGCCTTATCTTACGTGTTTAACACCTATAATATCACTATTATCGTTCTCATTGGGACTGAGGGATATCTGGGAAGCTTAATTGGATTAAACATTGACGGGTGGGTTTGGCAGGTGAACGAGAAAATGCACAGGTTTGATTACAAATAAAATAAATAGTCTACATCCCTTGAAGCAGCAGCACAGGTCAACAATGATGAGTTTTTTTGTTCCACCATTTTATTTTCTCCCTCTCTTCTGTTTTTTACTCCTTTTTTTCTGTGTGAGCTCTATAGCGCGGTGACAGATGGCGGAGCCCTCCTCCTCCACCTCCTACCTCCTCCTCCTCCTTCTCGCTCTCTTTTTCTCTCTCTCTCCCTCTCTCTTTCTATGTCTCTCTTCCCCCGAGGGCAAATCTCTGCGAATGCGGGCGCATGTCAATCACCGGGCTCTCATGTGATGGCTCTTGCCGGTGACGTGCCAGCCATATGGGCGCTGGCATCGCAGTCTTAGCTGGTATGTAACCCCGTCCCCAGTAGCTCACGGTTGCCACACGCGCACTCGCACACACATGCAGACACACGCTCACTTACTCTCTCACTCATATACACACAGACACGCCAAGACGCACGTTCAGTTCACGAGCTCCGGTTATTGGAGTGTGCGCGCTGGGAGAGAAGCACCCCTAAACAACCCATCCGCGCGCTGCCTTGCACCCACACACTCACAGGGAGCGTTGGTGCGCTCGTGCGGTCCCTGAAGATGGTCTGAAACTCAAGCGCGTTTTTTCTTCCCACCCCCTGTGAAGAGCTCGAGTCGAGGTAAGTTGAATCACAATCAACAATAACAGCTGAAAATAAATAAATGAATGAATACAAGAAAACTAAATAAAACCTGGATGCTTGAGTCCAAAATGGTGGAGAGCATTTATCTAATAAACAAATGCAGGCTATTATTGCAAAGTTGTCATCTATGTCTAACACAGTTCTGAGGTATTTGCAGTCGTTTTGAGGAATTAAAACCTTATTATCTTTTACAGTTTTAAGGTAAAACGCCACTGGCAATATAATCAATTTGGAAATGTAACGTTTATTGATCAACGTGTATTTATTTAAATCTGGTGATGGCACACTTTGAAATCCATTCCAATAAAACAAAATGCAATTAATGGATATACAAGGCATTTCCATGTTTGTCTTTTATTAGCTGTCCGTGTGAGAGCGATCGCTTTATATCTCCTCGCACCCCGATCTCCCTCTGCGTGCCCTTCAACTTTTGACATCCAAATCTACTTGGATTATAAAAGCTTATTATGAAATACCTCGCTTGAGTTAAAAGGCAAGCGTCTCCTGGTCCCGGTTGTTGTTCCTCCAGGATTATTTACAAGGAGAAGTCCTGAGGATGGAGTATCCCCGTACAGCATCACACAGGCTGTACTAGATCATACCGGACACTAATTTGATTTAGAGATTCCTGCGTCTGGAACCTGAATCAGAGCAACAAAAGATATATGCAAGATTAAAACAATTCGTGGTAGATTTTGACATCAGCACAATTGCCTCAGCTAAGGACGTCCTCGAGCTTAATGGGATATGTATTGATGATTTTGTCGATGATTTGCACATTCAATCTTGGAGCAAATGAAAGGGTGGGACAACGCCATTGACTGTGACAAGCATGTGTGCAGCATGATTTATCTCTGTTTGTCTAGTTTTATCTTCAACAATCTATCTCGACATAACATTGTCTGAACCACAGACGTTCCGTTGAAGGGGGGCTATTGCAGTCTTTTTTTGCGAGATTGAATAATTGTGTTATGTTTTTATATTTAACGAGGGCTAAAAGGATACATGGGATTTCCATCTGTGAATGGTTATCGCTGCCTAAAAAGTGCTTTGAAATCACGCACTCGTGCATACTGAATTATGTGTGAAATCTATTTCGTGTAGCTGCATGGTCTGTTAATTAAACGTTGTTGTGTTTTTTTCTTCTAATTGAGCAAACCTCCTGAGCCTGAGATGTAAAAACTAGATTTTGCCCCTGGCACACCCCCCAAGATAATTAGCCAACCATCACAGCCTACCTTACTATGTTCTGCAAGTCTGTCTCCTGCTGCACTATAATAATAGATGGGAAGTGAAACATGTTAGAGGGGAAGCCAATGGAGGCTTATTGAAGCTGTCAAAGATCACCTCGTCTCTCAGTAGCCATTTTTTCTGGATTGGACCGCATTTACTAATCAAGTAGGCTAATCTCTATTTTTTGGGCGAATTTTAGATTGATGATTTAGCACTTTTTCTTAGTATTCAATTGTGGATGGTTAATATACATTTCGTTATGTTTCGTTTTAACAGAGCCTTGAATTATTATTTGTGCAATTTTGGAAATAGCTTAGAATAAATATTGCGTTTAAAAACATTGTTGTTCTTATTTTGATTATTATTAAAGCTAGCATAATTCAATTTTGACTTTTTTTCCAAGTTGTCATAATTGTAGGCTTGTTCTTGCTTATAGGCCATGCATTTAAAAGCCTTTTTACAGTTTGTCTGTAAGCCTTAATTTAATAATCAGCGTGACTTTAAACGGAGCTACAGCCTATCAATTAAATGAAATCCCCTTTGCCTCCTCTGAGTAGAGGTGTATGGTGTGGATGAATAGTGCTGGAATGCAGCCAGGAGTATATATGGGCGTCAGGAGGAGTGAAAGTGGGGGCCCCCATGGGACCTGTAATGTGGCCCCTGCCGTTGGGACCCGCTGCGAGAGGACGCGACAGGGCACACGGATGACAGCAGGGAATTAAATGGGGATCCGTCTGGCTGCAACTCAGCGCAAAGCTTTCAGAGCTGAAGTCTATCTCTTTTTTATTTCCCCCAAATTAACACTTTGTCCTTTTGGCAAAAACAACGTCTCTGATATATTTTATGACAAAAGTCACTTTGTTCATGATGAGCTTTAGTGACGTTACAATTTGAAATATATGTGGAAATTCGATAATACCAATATGTGGATGTTTACTCGTGCGCAATAGTGAATTTAACCTCGTATGACTGCGTTTTCATAATATAGATCATGTCTTCGTTTTTTATATTTCCATATCCTACAACATTGAGTTGTTCTGTCTGTGTTCCTGAGGCCTGATTTTCCTTTCTCTCCTCTCTAGAGCCATAATGTTGACGAGGCTTTTCAGTGACCCATCGCTGCTCCCCGATGTGCAGAAATACTCGGGCTGGGCGGAGGACAGCGATGAGGAGGGTTCAAAAATGAAAGATGATGATCAGGACATCCAGGACGACGAGGGATCAGAGCTGAGAGGAAGCAGCCGAACTCACTCCGAGCATGCCGGGGAAGACGATGAGGACGACGACGACGACGAGGTAGAGGAAGAGGAAGACGAAGAAGGGATAGAGGGGGACATGCCCAAGAAAAGAGGGCCCAAAAAACGAAAAATGACCCCGGCCCGTGTCGAGCGCACCAAGGTGAGGCGGACAAAGGCCAACGCACGGGAGAGGACCCGAATGCACGACCTGAACTCTGCACTTGACAATCTGCGCAAAGTGGTTCCCTGCTACTCCAAAACGCAAAAACTTTCAAAAATTGAGACACTGCGTTTGGCCAAAAACTATATCTGGGCTTTATCGGAGATATTGCGTTCTGGAAAAAGGCCCGACGTTGTGGCCTACGTCCAGACGCTGTGCAAGGGACTCTCCCAGCCCACGACCAACCTGGTAGCGGGGTGCCTGCAGCTAAACTCCCGTAACTTCCTAACCGAGCAGCAGTGTCCGGACGGGAGCCGGTACGCTTCCGGCTCCTTCTCCATGCACTCCTACCCCTACCAGTGTGCGCGTCTCTCCAGCCCCCACTGCCAGCCGGGCTCGGGCTCGGGCTCGACCTCGAACTCGCATCCACTGAGGACGCAGGGCTACTCGACTTACGACTCGGTGTACGGTGGGAGCGGATCCCCGGAGTACAACAGCCCTGAATATGAGGCGCCCCTCAGCCCGCCTCTGTGCGTTAATAATGGCAACTTTTCCCTGAAGCAACAAGGCTCTGCGTCGCCCGAGAACGAGAAGGGGTACCACTACTCTATGCATTACTCCGGCCTGCCTGGCTCCAGACCCCCCGGGCCCCACAACCTAGTGTTTGGCTCTTCTGGAGCCCGGAGCGGCATTCATTCTGAAAACGTCGTGCCTTACCACGACATGCACTTACATCACGAACGTGCTCCGGTGTATGACGAACTGAACGCGTTTTTTCACAATTAAAATTAGAAGCCCACCGTGCAGCACCTGCAATCAACAATCTAACCACGGCACACTTTTCTAACAAGCTTACCCGCCAGGATCCAGGCATTCTGGAGAGATGTTTCACTTGTTGTCATTAGTATTTTCCTTTTATTTCTCCCGTCTTTACTATTTCTTAAGCTATAGTCAGAGATGTAGTGGAAGATCATCCACCTAAACCACCACCTGATTCTGTACAACAGCTTAAATCAAGCTGAAATAAATCTCTAAAAGGAAATTTGCTGAGCAAATCATATTAAGACCAAGATGATATGGGATGTTTCCAAAATGTTAATGTTTCTTAAAGTGTAACTTGTGCGTGTATCGGTGGTTGTTTGCATTTTGATGACTGAAAGTGTACCCACTTATTTATTTACCACTACATCACTGGCTACAGCTACCTTGACATTGGCGGTGACTTTCTATTATAAAATCAAAAGAAGTCAATGAACAACAAAATGCAAATCGTCTGTACGTGCGAGATTTGGTTTTTGGAAATAGTGAAATATATAGAAATGCAGTTTAATGCTGAACTGATTTAAAAAAGTGCTGTTTGTGTTGTGTAAGAAGAGCCTGCAGCAAATCACTCATTTCGCATCTATGCAAAAGCCAACGAGACCACAGAGCAAGGCAACAAGGCCCAAACAGATACTGTACACACACACACACACACACACACACACACACACACACACACACACACACACACACACACCACACACACACACACACACACACACACACACACCACACACACACACACACACACACACACACACACACACACACACACACACACACACACCAATTTTGCCAATGGCTGGGCTGGTCATAATCGTTCGGTTTCTAAAAAAAAAAATCTAAATCAAACATGTATTTTATAATTGTATTCACTCTAATTTATTCATATTAGCCGTATTCTTCTTCTTGAGCCATTGCACCATATTTTGGTTTCAAATCAACATTTTGGTTAAACCTTTTCGTTTTGATTTGCAGTGCTATGTTGAAATATGATTACTATTATTATCATTATTATTATTGCACGTATTTATTGTGTTGTTTCTTTGTAATTAAAGGTAATAGTCAATGGAACTGAAGGGATCCTATGTGTTGCTAAGCATTTTTTCATAAAATTCAAGTCAACTTTGTATTCAACCAACTGTGTGGTAAAATAAAACAAGAATAAATGAGACTGTGCATCTTGATTCTTTGTCCCCTATCGAAAAGCCTTGGTATTCTATGAATCATTCAACATTAACCAACTTTCTTATAAGCATGTACTTTTCAATTAATTCATTCGTTTTCTTCCATCGAATTTAAATAGGACATTTGTAATATGAGGATAAAGAAAAACATGAACCTGCAGCAGGCTTTTTGTTATTGGAGAAAATGGGGCTGAACATGCCTGCTGCCACAACCTGCAGGAGTCCCTCACAGAGCCTCAGGGCCTTATGTTGTAAACTGGGACAGGAGGAAGAGGGTTAATGCTGTCATTCTTCAAGATTAAGCAAATTGGTGCCAATGCGTAATTTACCCTTGGCATACAGCTTTCATTTACAATGCAGTCTTTAAAAATACATAGAATGATTTAAATTGCAGGAGGAAAACAGATTTGGTTGGTACGCTTATTAAAATCTGGACAATAATTCAAAAAAATGCATGTTAAATGTTTGCAAACACTGCATTGTATTTCATCAGGAAAATAACTGAGGTCAGCTTCATATTATCTTGACCGTTAAGACAAGAAGTCATGTGTCTCAGCCCGCGGAGAGCTCCTGCAGCCCCCGCTGATTCAGACGGTTTGAGCTTCAAATTGATAAAAATCCAAACAATCTATACATATTGTAGGCAGTATGTGTTTTGCTAACAATACTAATAATATGATTATCATTATCATATTGCTTTAGTGAACACACTACCCAACATCTCCAGAACACACAGGTTCTGCAGGTGTGTTTCATCAATCCACAAGAAATGACAGGAAAGGAAAACCAATGTCACATCAAGACATTAAGATACAAATAATTAAGAAAAACATAATCCTAAATCAGGAGATGTGTGTTAATTCAAGAGTAGATACTTGTTGAAAGAAAATCGTTACTTTTCATCCTTTCGAATCTGTGAACACAAAAATGAACTTTACGGCAATAGAGCTTTGACACCAACTGACACAAGGTAAATATTCATTTTTTTATCTTAGATTTCCATCTCTCGATAATGCATTAAACATCACATATGAATTATGAAGACGACCCCCCTTCGCTACACCTCTTGTTACTTTTAACACACATCTCATATTAATGTCAAACATCGATTTGGATGGCATTATAAATGTATCCAAGGTTGTTTAAATCAATTAAATAACTATGTTTGTTGAATCTATGTAAACATAACACTCTCAAGCTTTTACGTACGTTTTTAACTGTTCGTTCATAAACGAAACTGAAATATCAGTTTTAAAATGTGGCGACCACACACACACAAAACACAGCACACACACACAAACACAGTGCAAAGGGCAGCCGTTGCCACCCCGGCTGAGTTTGGAGCGCTGCCCCGGGACCCATATGTTACCCAAAATGTCCTGGGTGCTCTCTACTGTAGGGACACACGCTTTGGATGACGAGTGCTGACCAATGTAAATACGAATATTAATATCAGAGGCTCCAATATTTTAACTCAGATTATCTTGCATTGTATTCCAAATAAATCTGCGTGGGCATCAGCTGTGGGTTTTGGAACAGAAAGCTTCAATACTAATCGTGTAATGTTGATAATCAATTATATAAACATGTATAAATAGCCTTTCATTTCAAAGAGGAGCATCTTTTCTGGATCAACTGATTTAGCGATTTTTCTAGCAATGTTTTTCTTGTCTACAAGAAATGAATCTCTTGCATGCAGGTTTAAAAGTTTTGATGGTAAAGAAGTAACATATAATAAATAAATCACTGCTTGTGCATAAGTAATTCTACAGAATGTAGGATCATTTCAACAATTGTGGGCAGTCTTTGGAATATTTGATAAAAATGGTGGTCTCTGCTTATTTCTATAAGGCATGGAAATTACCCGTATAACTTTTTAACAATTACAAGTATATAAACTATGAAATATATCTGAAGGTTTTATTGGTCAAGTTTACACATAACACTTGTGGGTTCATGCTACTGTGAATTTCGTTCTTTGCACTTAATAAAAGAGCAGAAATATTATTATTATTATTAAATCTCATCGTCATGTCAAGACGATTGATAGTAGCCTATAGTCCGTGAAATACTTGTATACTTTTTAAACAGGGAATAAATTCAGATACATTTCGTTTTTATTTTATTTATTTAAAACAACTCTGTTTTTAGGTTAATTTCAAACCACTTTCTTAAATTACTTTGGCCTCAGCAATTGGCAGGCGCCTATTAATTCATGTATTAAAAACTCCAGGTTGGGAATCAAACCCGCAGCTCTGCAGTACAGGCTATTTTTTAACCCAACAACCAAATGCTTGTGTTACACTTTTTAGTTGTAGGCCTCTAACTCTTTCTTTTTTTGCCCTAATCAGCAAATTAAAAAAAGTTGCTTGCAGTTCTGGAGTATAGCAAGCCCAAAAGAGAGGCCAGCGAGCTTGCATTGGGAGAGGGCATCTATCAAAATACTCCCCGACCCCCTCACACCACCTCCTCCTCCTCCTCTTCCTCCACAGTCCGGAGAGAGTGGGAGAGAGAGGCTGGCAGGCTGGCGAAGGGGAGCCGTGCCAAGTCCCTTAATGTTCCCCAGCAGCAGCACCAGGAGCTCCGGAGAGGACAACCCAGTGCGCGCCAGTGTGCCAGTTCACCGGGCCAAAGTGGCACTGCTGGGAGGAGTCGATGTTTCTTTCCTAATTTTTGCAGCATCTGTTCATTATCCAGGACGTTTAAAAACGAGAGCGCTCATCCCGAGTAACCCCTTCTCACGCACACACTCACACACAGATACATAACACTGAGGCCTTTTGGTAAAGAGTTGGCCTGGATATGCATACCTCTTATGTTATGTTGTTCATGAGCTCATGCATCGAGAGAAGGCTGGGTTGCATCTTTAGAATTCACTGGTTGTTGTTACCAGTCCTGCAACAAATAAGAATCGACACAAAATGAAGCCACATTTGATTGAAGGAAAATGACAAAATGTTGGTTAAGTTTGAATTAAAGGAGTTTGCAGTATGATTTTTAGCTTTGAAGGAATTTTTGTTTTACTTTAACAAAAAAAGAGAATCCGTTCACTGGACATCGTTTTATTTGTCAAATGTTCAATGTTAAGTGTTCATAGTGATAAAGAATCAAGCTTCAAGCTTCTGCAGGACATGTGTGTGTGTGTGTGAGTGTTATTTCATTAAAACAACTTTTTACAAAGTTTCCTAAAAAAAATTGATAATATTTGACATTGAAAATATAAAATATGAATGCTTTAAAAAGTGTTTTTAAATGACATAAGTGATATTTAGATACATTAAACAGATGTCCACAAGCTTAATTTGTTTTTACACTTTTGCAAATTAATACTTCAATTCTTTGCCATAAACATGAACAACAGTAACTTGCAATTGCAGTCAGTCTTGAGAAGAAAAAAAAACAACTTTCAATGACACTCTATGCTCCACTCAAGATGAAAAGTGAGTGAATGAATCTCGCTGTTTAAATTATCATGTTCATGCCCACTCTTTTTCTCACTCAAGTTGGTAAGGGAAAAAAATCAAAAGTGTTTGTCCGACATAACAGTCAATAGTGCGATTATCAAAATGTCACAAGTATTATGGTGTGAATTCCAATTAACGTGTAGCTAAAATAATAACCGAGTGTTTTTGCAAAATGCAGATATCACATCATAATATGGATGTAAAATATGTGGGGAATAGAGGCATTTAGGAGGAAGAGCAGATTGGGGCAGGGGGTAATCTGATCATATGATTGTGAGCATTTGTAATCTGTCAGTGATTTTTTTTTAAAAGCATGAAAAAATGAAGTTGAGATCTGATATTCAAAAATACACACACGCACACACCAATTTTCAACTCTCTGGCCCCACACTCCTGCAACACCCACATTGTTACACATGTGAGGAAACAATAGTGCACATTTAGGCCAACATCTTTGCCAAACTGAGAACAGGCAGCCCCCCCCCCCCTCCTCACATTGCCAGACAAGGGAGAGCAGGCTTGTCATTGGCACAGTCCATTCAGAGGAAATTCCACAACATCTGTTTGTTATCACACAATGGTGCACGGTGCAGCACGGGCACTGGGGCAGAAGACGAGGCAGAAGCTAAACTGAGGGTGTGCTACTGCTGGGGGTCCCGCCAGGGGAGAAACAAGGTCTGCGGGAGGGGGAGGATGTTGGGGGTGGGGGGGGGGGGGTGAACAGACAGAGGTGGAGATCCGGGTGAGCGCCAGGTATGTTTCAGGCCTTTGGCGGGTGGCCAGATGTTGACGGGGGTCGGGTGTAGTGTTTGTTCGGAGAGTTTTACTGGTGAGTGAGACAATCTTTCTGACCTGACCGACAGTTCTCCGTCATTCTCACGCACGCCCAACGCCGGTATGTTGCGGAGGGTCCGGCGGTATTGCGGGGCGTGGCTGGCCCCTGTTTAGGAGGTTAAGTAGGAGCGTGCACGGGGACGCAACTGGACCAGAGAGGAGGGGGGTGGGGTCGTTGCTGGTCTGCACAGATGGCATGTGTGCGTGCGTGTGCGTGCGCGTTTGTTATGATAGGGTTGGATGATGCCCTGGTCACATGGGCAGCAGTAATTGGCCTCCATATTGACCAGTTTGCAGCGCTGGGGGGCGGGCAGTCTCCCAGCTGGACCTGTCAGATGGCATCGCATTCACCTCACTGATCACCCCCCGGACGACCTCCGTAACTCTCCCCTCTTCCTTTCATCTCTCCGTTCTCCTTCATCCCTCTCGTCACCTTTAATCTTCCGTTGCCCGCCTTTCTGCCATTGCCTGTCCATCACCAACGCTGTCTACTTTCCACAGCTCCTCCAAACTTGTAGGACTTTTTAGAAACTTTCTTTTCGCAAGATCCATATGTTTGGGTAATCAGGGTCGGTTGATTAAGACATAGGACCACTGTAATTCCACTGAACCTTGACCTTGAAGCCAACCAGATTAAGCACATTTGAGCTAGTTTGTCTATTTTGGTTTGTCTTCATAAAAGTATTTCTTCTGATGTTACCC